TAGGAGTGTCGATAAATCTAATCATCCAATCCACAATCCGTTATCATCAGTCACGGAACCCCGTACACGTGACAATATCAAAAGTTCAGTCCTTTCACATTCTACAGTACTTCACACAGTTCTGCATCATGAGCCTATATAAAACATGAAGGAGGAGTTAACCGCTTCACTCATTTCGGTAGGACTGATAGGCGACGATTTACGAAAAAGCCAATTTTATCTTGGAAAATTGAAAAGCCTATATTCGAAATTAACAGGGAATTAAACCTTTCACTCTAATTGGCAGGGAGGATATGAAATGAGTTGCGAAAGAGCCAATTTTAGTCTCCGCAAATAGAATACACACAACATGGGTTGTTCGGAAGTTACATAACAACGCTCTCTCAACGCACAGACTGTGAAGTATCGAGTGTGATGGTAAGGTTATTATGAAGAGGATAGCAGTCTGTCAGGAGTTAACAATACGGCATTCGGCTGGAGGACATAGCGTTGATGTTTCTGAGTCTATTTCAGAAGCAAATCCTTAACTTCTGGATTATAAATTTTGAAAGTTGTGTGTCTGTGGACATGAGTTGTTTGCGCAGATCTCTCGCGAAAATAGCTAATTTGGAAGATCTTGAAGAAGAACCTTTTGCAAAGCTCACCAATTACAGACTACATACCCGGCTGACGTCTGGATCAGGCAACGGCGGTCATATGCTTGCTTCCACCTAATTCGTTTTTGACTTTAGAATATTACTGTACGTCAACAGATTTTCCTTGTGTCTACCGAAAGAAGGCTCTACCATTAGAAGTGAACAGAGCATAGAATTCACTAATATAATGACGTAAACGGAACTGCCACTAGACTTCACTTTTCCAAAACTTGCGAACTTCTCCACAATTAAATTCTAAAACTGCAGTATTTTTAAAAAAGGTCGTTCAAGATCTACTGTGATCAATACTTAGCACCCAATTCCTGTGATTATAACTTCCCTCCTGGTATTCTGAGTGGCTAAGACAAAACACAGTTGGGCGTGGTCACTCGCGCACTCCTTACACATAAGTTACTGAAACCCCAGCTGCAAAACAAAGGAGAATACCTACCGGGAGACGCATGGCGATATCTCCAGGTTCTGCACAGAGACTGCGAAGTCGTGTAAGATGTTCTACTCACTAAGATGTATCACTCACTCATGGAACTGAGTCTTTCTTGAGAAGTCGTCAATTGTGCAGCTACTCAAGAATTTCCCAACATTTTATGGAACCCGAAGGTTCATTACCGTGTTCACAAGAGCCCCCCACTGGTCCCTATCCGCAGCCATATCATTCCAGTCCCTATCATCCCATACTATCTCTCAAATATCCATTTTAATATTACCCTCCCATCTATATCTATATATTCCTAGTGATCTCTTTCCTATGGGCTTTCCCACCAAAATCCTATATGTATTCCTCTTCTTCATAATTCGTGCTACATGAGCTGCCCACCTCATCCTCCTTGACTTCCTCTTTATAATTATACCTGGCGAAAAGTACAAGTTGTGAAGTTCATCATTATGCCGTTTTCTCCAACCTCCTGCTCTAAGATGTATATTTTAACATTATATTTACATATCCCAAAGCGTTTATTTGCATGAAAATTGTGGAAATACGTGACTTTGGTAACTTGAAGCTCCATATACAAGCAACAATTACAGTGACTTGAACGTCACAGTGATTCTCGTGGGTTCACAGACCTGAAATACGATTTACCTCGAAATCTGTTCCCATTTCATTAAGTCCACACATTAAGCCATATCTAGTTGCATGATGGTCAGGTCATCTTTGGCATACGTGTTGGTTAATAAGTATGAAGTTTTTCCCGTTCCTAAGCACAACTACATCAAAGAACATATTAAAGTACAGATTCATGTATACTTAAGCACGAGACTAGATGGAGTTGAGCGATCAACACCACCGCCTCCAGCCGTTTTATCCCCGAGGAAGAGATGATCAGGACCCACTGGCCTGGAAGTGACGGCGAAGAGGGAATTCACTGACTCTGTCAGAAACATAAACCCAATCGTTGGCCTGTAACTGCATTTCCTAGTTCTCTGATGGGTTCATAATCCCAGATACGTTTAGTGATTCTGTCATGCCATTTTTCCCAGATATTTAATTAACTGCTTTCCACGAAGTATTTCAAGTTCTAAATTATACACGAGTAGCTCTATTATCATTCGGGAAGGCAGAACCTACTTTCCATTGCAAATAACACGTCATTAAATTTGTTTTTCATTCGTTTGTGTTTTGTTTATTAATGGATAAGTACTCTACAGATGACGGGCATTGAACTGATAAAACACTGTTCATGACAACTGCTCACTAAACACATCTTCAAACAGTAGAACAATCGTAATGTAGGCTTAATGACAGCAATTTCAGCATGCAATTTTACATAACTACATGCAGAATATCGTATTTCATATTCCGTGCGTAAAAGCGGTGGAAATGGATTCATTGAACACATTCTAAAAATGTAACGTAAAACATGGTTGTATCATGCTATACTAGACGGGTTTCGTGTATAATCATTGCCTCAAATATAAACTGTCAGGCGTCGTGGATATTCAAGCATTAAGTGAAGAAACGCGTATTTCACTTCGGAGAACCGATGTTTTACAAATCAGGAGCACTTAAGAAGAACTGAAAGCTTTATTCTTCTACTTTTGAGTTATTCTTTCATCAGAAAGATTCACGACTTTGCACATTTCACATGTATTGACGATAATGTATAAAATGTATTATTGAGAATAACAATCCAACATGCGGAATGAATCAAACTACAGATGTTACAATTCAGAGAAAAGAAAATTATTTTTTGACCAGTTTCCTTCGATAGTCAACACAATTACAAATTATTTCTGACAAAAGTTGCTGATCAGAGTGAGATTTACAATATATTGTTTAGAATCGTTTACTTTTGCAAAGAGCCACTTGTGAGAGAGCTAATAAAGGAAGATCTGAAAGTCATGATCAAGTACTCACAATAGGTAACACTTCTGACTTGTGTTCTGGAGATGCCCATTTCGAATCTCTATCGAAACACCTACTATCCTGACTGTGTTTTTTCGTGAGTTTTCTCAGTCCAATCAAGCTAATTCCGGAACAGCACCTTAACACTTCAAACATTTAATTACTTCAACTAACATGCAAGAATTCATTTCGTAATTCAGAGGAAACACAGAGCGTGCATAGTCCTTCCCTGATTAAGAAAATTAATAACTTGAAACCCTTACTAGATAGAAACATACGGTTTGTAGCATAACGAAGTCCAACTCGTAGAATTTTTTTATTTACAGTTGCACAACCTGTGTTCGACCTTGGTAGCGCTGCAATTGTCAATATAAAAATTGAGTCTATGAATTAGAGAGCTCAGTATGTCTTTTAGTTTCACGAAACGAAATCGCCACTTATAGTCCAGCGAAACTTCAGACGTGAGTATGGATGACATCTGCCAGATGTTAAAAGCATCACAGGTTAGTATGCAAAGTTTAAAGAGACTGGCAATGTTGATGACCGTAAAGGACCTGGCAGGCCTAGTGTGAGTGAGAAGACTGTTGACGCTGTGAATTATGCTTCTCAACGCAGTCCGCGAAAGTTAACCCGTCTTTTCTCAAATGAACTTCGTATACCTCAGAGCACAGTTTTAAATATTTTGCAAAAAACGGCTGAGTTTATGGGCATACAAAGTGCAACTCATTCAAACATTGGAGCCAGACGATGATCCCCGACGTGCTGCTCTTGCAACAGAGATGTTGCAACGAACTGATGAAGACAATGATTCTCTGACGCGTGTGTTCTTCTGATGAGGGCACCTTTCACACTTCGGGGAAGGTAAACAGACACAATGTCCGCATTTTGGTGTTAGAGAACCCACGTGATGTGTTAGAGAATGAGAGAGAGAGCCCTAAATTAAATGTTCGGTGCGCCATAATGCTCAACAAGGTTAGTGGACCATTCTTTTTACTGAGTGCACTATTTAAGCAGTAGTTTACCTAGACATGACGAAGCTCTATGCTCCAACACAGAAGAGTTCCACCTATGGGTAATTCAACAGGCTGGTGCACTGCCACACTGGGGGTCAGCTTTTCGTCAGTTTCCAAAGTTTCCAAACCGATGCATTGGGAGGGACAGTACAACACCACGGACACCACGTTCACCGGACATTGCCCCTCTGAACTTCTGTATGGGGGTATGTGAAGGACGGGGTGTATTCGACATCGGTTCCAGATATTGACACTTTGAAAGCAAGGATAAGAGATGCTTCGGCGATGATGACTGAAGAGAAATTGGAGAAAACATGGAGAAAAATCAAGTATAAAATAGACATTCTCCGTGCAACTAGCTGAGAACAGGTTGAAGTGTACTAATGTAGCACAAGAGAACTTTTTGAGTTGAGGTAAACTTTGTAAAAAAAACGTATATTTGTACATATTATAGTTTTTGTGTAACAAATTTCTGAATTCAAGGAAGTACTTTATATTCACTGTGAATATAACGTCTCAGTCACAAAGACAAAAGCGGTTAATGCTGTTTGGAATGCATTACTTGTTTATTGTGAGAATCATACAAAGCCCACAGATATTCTGTGGACAAGGGCTTCTCTATGTTAAATCCTGTGGTATGTATAGTAACCATTGGGATTTAAAACGTTAAATTATCCAACATGAGTTTCTTTCGAAATTATTTCCAGTTGATAATTCATCAGCGCTGAACTATTCACCTCTGTGTAGTCTCAGTTACTAACAGAACCTTTAAACAAAGCACCAATAAAAACGCATGTAAACTGGGGCTTAAACTGGATCGATATGAACCAGAAATTAAATTCTAGGGATCATGTTTTATGGTGGGTATCGTGATATCAAATTTCATTAAAATTCTTCAAATACTTTCATATCCGGAGTACGAATAGAAAGATACTTGGTGCAAGTAACGCACGGTACAGGAACAAAGCATGGAATTAGTGGTGTGCTTACCGGGAGTTCATCCAGCAGTAGATGATGGGATTGTACATGGAGCTGGACATGGCCAGCCAGTAGATGGCGAGGTATACCTCCTGGATGTACCTCGTGTTGGTGATCTGAGGCACTAGTGCCATCAGTATGAAGTACATGTGGAATGGAAGCCAGCACACGGCGAATATCGACACTACCACGATCATCATCTTCACCACCTGCACATAAATACGCACGTCATTTCATCAGGAGAGGAGTCATAAGCTCTATTTGGGCTTAACAAACAAACAAACTCCGTTGCCTGTAGTCAGCAAACGAAATATACAGACACAGCGACCTCCTGCTTGTCTGCGAAGGTAGTGCCGCCTCTGTGGTCTAATGATCAGAGTTTCTGGCTACAGATTCAAATTTTCCGGGTTCGATTCCCGGGACTACCAGATTTTCTGAGAAGTAGTGGGTCTGAAACGGGGTCCACTCGGCCTCGTGAGGATAACTGACGAACTACTTCAAGGAAATAGTGGCTCCGGTTGAGAAAACCTAGATTAATGGCCATGGGAATCCGTTGCACTGACCACGTGATAAATTTTATCAGAAAAATATTGGCATTTGGGCTTCACATGTTTCACAGATTCGTTACTTCAGATTTTGCTCGCTCAGTGGCACGGATGTTCACAGTCGCTACAATTTTGTTGCAGCAAAACACATCACGCATATTAGGACACTAAGTAGTCAGGTCCAGCTTTGTTTCTCATTAAGTATGCCCGCTATTGAGAAGTATTTTAACCAAGAGCTGTAAATCTTAATGATGCTACGTTTTGTGTACATTCTATGGACTGAAATTTTGAAAACAAAAACTACTTTTCCAGTGGATTTCGCAGTCAAATTTAATGCAGATCTGTTTATATGCTATTAATATATAAGTAACGGACCACCCGGTAGAGTAGCTGGTTGAGACATAATGCTACAAGCCAGAAGGTTGCGGGTTCGATTCCTGAGGAGGTCATTGCATTTTTTCAGTTCACCTAATCCTTCCAGCAACACTATGGCACTGGGGTCGACTCAGCCTCTAACAGAAATGAGTACCAGGAGTCTTCCTGGAGGTAAAGGACGGCGGGCTCGTAAGACTGACAACCTTACAACCATCTGTGAGCCGATTGTCTAGAAAATGTGGAAGCCTCGACCTCTCACAATCCTATGGGCCTCCACAGCCAGTTACAGGGATTGTCTTATCTATTAACTTTTTTTATCGGGGTGACTAATGGAATTATCGCATTCGATCCTGCGACCTTCCGGGTTGTAGCATAGCTCCTCAACCAACTCGGTTACCAAATATTTGATAAATTTTTATTCGTTTCATTCTTTCCAATATTCTGCCTATATTCGAATTAGGTGGCAATTACCGTCTAGGCAATCTGGTGTACATATATAACAAGATATACAAATATAAATCACTCCGTCCAATGTGACCTGTAAGTTTTTTACTACATGAAAACTTAACACCCTTACATGTTTCGGTCTCTGTGGACCATCTTCAGAGGGCAAACATCACTACAAATAGGAAACCACCATCACATAAGTTGTTTAGACGTAAAGTACGTACACTTATATGCTACAATGCATAGTACACAAAATAGAACATTTCACAAACACAGCAGTTTCCTGGGAATGTAAAGTTTCAAAAAAATTATATAAAATTTCTTGATGCTAATAAAAATTATTTTTTTTTATTGTCGATAATTAAAATTCGTAAACCTTTCAGGCTCGTGTTCGTCCTCCCATCGTCCCTCTTGTATGGGGCAGATATTGTGCCACCTGGCTATCTTGATGTAGAGGTTCTTTATATCGTCCAGGGTTTGCTCGTGGCTGCTGTGCTGTTTTCATAACAAGATATGCTTAGTTGGTGATATTTGATGACGTTTATTTGCAACAATTGGCCGTTGAAATTTCAGCAGACACCATAACAAAAAATAGCTTCGGTGATGGAATGAACTGAATGCAGCATGCATGACAAGCTGCGTGGTTCAGTGATACTGTTGTGGTAGGAGGGCAGACATACACGCCTCTCCCCCCGTGGGCTGTACATCATCCTTTTGAACACTCGATACGGTGCATGAGAGGACCCCAGGCTGTTCCTTCAACAGCAGTGCTGTAAATCCGTATAAATGCGTCCATACTGCTGCGGAGCCACAGAGTGACACGTGACACGAGCTACTGTACAGCATTGGTCAGGGCTGCTTGCGCAGTCACTGGACATTTGTATCTAACTGCTCTGTAGTTACGACTATACGGAGAAATTACAAGATGAACAGGTTCGTTGATTAGCCTGTTTACTAGAACGCTCACAGTGATTGTTTAACATCTGATTCTATGAGAACGGGACTATCTAGCCAGAAAAACGGAAGAATAATATTGTCGCGTGTATCAGTGACCGACCGACCGAGCAACGTCGGCGAAGTTAGTGCCAAGTTTACCGGATAGGTGTCGCGTGGTCAGCGCAACGAATCCCCACGGAAGTTAATTTCGGTTTCCTAAACCGGAGCCGCTATTTCCTTGAAATAGCTCCTCAATTATCCTTAGGAGGCTGAGTAGACCCCCGTTCCAGACCCACTACTTCTTAGAAAATCTAGTAGGGCTGGTAATGGAACCCGGACCTCTAAATCTGTATCCAGGAACTTTGACCACTATAGTTCGCCTGCGGACTAAAACCAAGGAGCTTGTTTATAGTTTGTTTTTTGAATTAGTGACAAAAACTTGGGTTTGCAAACACAATCGATTTATTGGATAACTACGAGTCGTAACCGCAAAGAATTACAACACTCCAATTCATAGCAAGAAAAATAACACATAAAGTCTTCAGAACTTTAATTCTAATCTTCGTTTAAGCCTCCGGAACTCTGCTATTGGATTGTCTGTCAGTCCGTTATCTTCGCAGCTCTTATAATTTTCTCTTGAGCCAAGTTAGAAGTCACAACGGTCACAACTGCACTGCGCACCGCCCTAGTCTTTCAGTTGCCTTGGACGGTCCTCTCAATTTAACTGCTGAACTGCTGGTGTCACAGTCAAGGCTAAAGTCACTTTGTGACTGACGGTCAGTCAGCCAGTAAGGGGCTCATGACCAGATACATTATACTGCTTGACAGTTATGCTCTTGTTTTTGTGTGGCGCCCTCTCTGATGAGAGGACGGGTCTGTCATTTGTATATGCTGCTGGCTCTGGCCAGGTCAATGTTTCTCGAGCCCGAGTCTCTCGGGACAATATTTTACGGTCTCAGATTTGAGACTTCCCTTTTCGTCGCCTCCTACGAATCGCAGGGTCGCTGTGGAGGTATTTGACCCCGCCTTGTCTAGAAAGTGTGGAAGCCTCGATGTCTCAAAACTCTATAAGCCTTCACGGCCTGTTACAGGGATAGCTTTATATTTTGTAACTATTTTATGTAACACAGTAATTCAAATTTCAGAATAGGTTTCAATGTACAACAACTTGAATGAATACCGTATCTCGATTCCGAGGTCCTCACATCGGTGACAGCGTTCTGGTATGTAACGCCTTGTAGTCCAGTATAATCTCTTCGAAGTTTCGGAAGAAGTGCAGCCTCTATCTTTAGGGTGGAAGAACAAGTCAAGCAAGAAATAAATACATTAAAATGCTCCCAAAATCGGCGAAATTCTACCGGACTCCATGGCGTTACATCCCAGAAGACAGTGCTCTGTAACGTCATTGTGTTTCGTTCCAAAAATAACTCATCTACATGTGGCCCCTTGACATAATTAATATTAATATAACTTAAAAGTAAAATATTATTCTGTGGGTACTTGTCATAATTTCATTTTTTCTCTCATTCTTACTGCTTTCAGTAGATGTCAGAGAACGTCATTAGTCTTCCCTGGAGAATAACAGTACCACTGCACAGAGGAGCTTGTTCTGAGTGTCGAGTAAACACTGTGTTTCATCAAGAAAAAATAATAAATTCACCTGCGTCTGACATAAGTATGTTCGCAGTACAATGTGGAGTTTATGTAAAAACAAAATGTTCCTATATTTTTAGAAACGCATGACAATGGCCTTCCCTCAATTTTTATACTAGCATGCAGCCTCAGGAAACACAACTCATTGTTTTAAACATGTCTAATAATTATACATTTACATACTAAAATGTGTAAAACCATAGAATTCACAATGTACTTATTTTTACTGCAAAAAATGTCTTGATTCTTGGCTTGAAACGCAGATGTGAGACAGCTTTCTACGTCTTTAGTCTAAATAAAACTGTGATATCTATAATTTCCTTGTACATTTATGTATTAAATTTGTTACATATATGTCAAGAAATACGAACACATTAACGCATATTAAGTTCTAAGACTGGGAAATATTCATCACATTAAGCAGTTTTCGCATCAGATTTTTACAGGACGCTCATAGTATTCCAGTAAGTAATATGGAGATATATATACAATTTCCCGAATAAATTAGAAATATTTTCCAAAATATTTGCAAACTAAAGTGTTCATAATCATTTAATACTAACCAGTTTCCAATTACAGGCACAATTTATTTACAAAAATTGGAAAATTTTCTGTGTTTAAAGCAACAGACCACATTCCACAGCAAAGCAAAACGTATCAAATCTGAAGTGAGCATAATTTCATTAAAAGCAGACACAAGTTTCGGGCCTATGAGGAAAAGGTATCTACGAACAGTTGGAGTAAGCCTGAAAATGTATGGAGCCCATATTTTTGTAATGATAAAATAAGAACAAATTTTTCTTTTTTACAAAATTGGGTCACTTAGTTGCAGATGTTACGGTTAAAAACAAGAATAAACTACATCGTTACCAAATAATCAATTCAAAATGTAATACCTCAAATAAAATTCAAGGTAATCGTATTTTCACAAATATCATTTTAATTAACAATTGAAACTCCTCATAATCATCTTCTTCATATTTATCCACAACCAACTAACTTCATGGTGTTGAGCCCTTCTTTAGAAGCCGCCAGTTGTGCAACTACTCAAGAATATCTGAATATTTTATGGAACCAGAAGTTTCAATACCGTTTTCAATAGAGCCTTCCGCTATTTCTCTATCCTCAAACAAACCAATCGAGTCTATACTTCCTCATCTTATCCCTTTAAGACAAGTTTTAATATTACCCATCCACCAACATCTTGGTCTTCCTAGCTGTCTTTTTCCTTCTGGCATTCCTACCAATATTCT